AGTCACTACTATGGACTCAAACGCTTTGCTTATGGCAATCGCATATTTCAGCTAGTTGGTAACGGATTGAAAACTCACTCCCTCGTAATGGAACAGTGGAACAGAAGACAAAATATTTGATCAAAGGTGGACTGGAGACGACACGGATTTCCGGATCCCGAAGCCCGAATAAAGAGCACCATTCAGTACTTCGGAAGTACTACTTTCTGTCCACAACCATGGCATAGGGTGACTCGAAAGCTATTACTAGACCGTTCGTGTTGCTCCTACTTTTGAAAAGTCGCTTCAAGACGCGCAACGAAGAACTAGGCGTGAAAAAGATGACAATCTGTATAATATGCGCCCCGGTCCTCAGTGGTCAACAGCGTTGCGGTTGCTGTGAGCAAGCTGACTACTCAAACATTAATCAACCGGAGAGAGAGTGATCATTGAAAGTTGAATCGGTTCGGGAAGGAGTGGTAGAAAAATTACTGATATTTAGGATACCGGTGCGGGCGAGTTTGTTGTTCACTATTTTCAGGCTTTCACCCGCTTTAGTGGGAGAAAAAGTCCCTACAACGGATTCACTCGCCCTTCACCCTTTTCAGGATTCACTGTTTTCAGGAGGGACCCACTGCAGTTGTGTCGTCACAGTTTCGTACGCACCATATAAGATATGCATTAAGTAAACCTCTCAAAGGAGTAGCAGTTCACTGATGAACTGGGCTGCAGATGTAGTTAGCGAGGCCGTGCCTCGAGTTTCTTTTCCCAACCCATCCCACCCGTACAGGAGAGGCCTGTGATCGTAGTGCTCCACTCGGTTTATTGACCTCGGTAGCACTCCGGATCACTTGGCCTGGGCTCGAAGACTTGGTGTTTATATAGCGTAGTTGGCGGAGTGGTAGAATTCAGATCTACCATTGGCGCCAACCCGGCTCAGACCCTGGCAGGGGCATACGACCACAGATCGCGCTTCTTCTTGGGCGTTATATTCTTCTTTGATAGAGTGTTGTTAGCTCTAGGGAGTGTATTATGGGGGTACAATGAAAAGTCACCGCGAACATAGCTAGAGCAATCCAAGATTAACTTACTACGAAAGTCTTCGTTGGTCGTACGCATAGTCTGCAACCTACGAGGGTGACTATGGAAATACATATTTGATTGCCTCACTCGCTGCATTATGAAGATTAGTTCACGAGTTGATTGGAGATATATGAGCATATTCCCGCAGCAGAAACTCTGCCTTCGAATACCAATGGATATCGCTCAGCGGTAGGAGGGGTAGTGTATTATCGGCAACAAGAGAGTCTTTTCAAATGTTTAAAGACTGAATCAACTTCGGATACTCTTGGGAACGACAGGTGAATATTTCGTATGATTCTGACTTGATGGAGGTCAAGAGCCGATGTCTATCAATAATACCACTCCTTTTGGAGCATTTACGATATCTAAAGTTAGCTTCACAGGTCACCTACTGGTAATACCAATTTGGTATTGTGATAAAATGGAATCAGTGTTCCTACTTGTGGAATAGGAGTTTTTG